CAATAAAAGTAAAAATTGTGGATGAAATGGTGCAAAGTGCTTATTTATATGTTATTTTACATGTAAACAACAACAAAAAAGAATATTTATTTTGATTTTAACTTGATAAATCAAGTTACTTAATTGATTTCTAATTTTTAGTAAAAGTACAGACATTTCACAAGGGAGCTTAATGAGCAAAACGTTTTTGAGCTAAGTATGTTAATCGGATTAGCCTAAACGTTACCAAAATTGTACCGCGAAGTGTTTCGACAGTGTATACAGACGATTTACCCAGACATTAAACTCGAAATCACTTCTCAAGAATGCAAAATTAAAACGTCCACTTCGGTGGATGTGCGTGTCGCAAAAATGTCTCTGCTTTAGCTCCGATCCCTATTGCCAGGAAGCACATTTCAGTGAATCAGTTGTTTGGAACGAGTAGCCTTTATTTTCTGCCCTGATAGAGAAGCGCCATTTGCACACTTTTATAGGTCGAATATTCTTATTTTTCTGCCGATTTTAGGCTGAAAGTATTTTTGTGCTACTCTTAGATAATAATATAGCTTATGACAATTTCATTTTAGATTATATTGGGGTATCAATTATAGTTAGACTAAGTGCAAATTTTTTCGTTTTGTTGGCGAGTTTAATTTCGCCGTTTAGAGAAAGGAATAACTCTAGTGAAAACTTATAATTGTATTGTATGTCGGCTGGTTCGGTTTGCCGCCCGGGGTACTCAATTTGTAATACTTATGGCACTTTGTTATAACTGTCACAATTTCAGATTTGTAATAAATCCATCGCACTTTGTAATAAAAATGGTGTCGCAATTTGTGATAACTGCCTTTAGTAAATTAAACTGTTGCAATTTGTAATAACCTGAACTGATAATTAGAAACGCAAATTGGATGTACACAGGTACATACTCGGCATTACGTCCTATTAGGAACAGCGCTAACAATGAAGACAGCAACTGAGAAAGACTTACCGGGTATCATCAAAGAGGTGAAGGAGAGGGCGATCCGAGCCATAAACCCAGTTTGGAATAATCTGATTTTTTCCCTTTCTTTTTCCTTCTTTCCTTTTTTATGGTTACGACATTCTACCGTTCTCAAATCTTGTAATGCTCAGGCCTTCTTAGCGGCCAATTCACCGTTCGGTGACGTATCAGAGCTGAGGCGAACGGGCAGGGAATTTTTTTTCTCGGACCACAATCCCTGAAACGAATGGGCCGCGCTGATGGGCGCGATGGGCAACCTCTGCCAAGTGTAATAGAAATAAGGCCTAGAAACTTGTTCTGTGCTTTATTTGATTATCGATGTATGACTACATAGGGCTACATGTAGTATAGCAAAGGCGAGCGGTCAGCGTGTTTTTCAAAGGTTCATTTTTGTTGTTTGAATTGTTTGAAATAATGCTAAGATATAAATGCTTGGGAGACATATTTGTTTGACAAAAAGCTCACATTTTGTCATTCACAAGTAATTTCTGAAGTCCATAGCAAATAACGAGCACGCGAAATTGGCATTATATACAAAATGAACTAGCCACGCGTGGTACAGGCCCTAATGTCGGACGTCACCTCTGGGGTAAGGATACTCCAGGAAATGCGTGGGTGTATGACATGCGTACTGAAACCCAAACCCTACTTCAGATTAAATTAAAGTTTGTGATTTTCCCAGGAGCTACTTTCGGGCTGGCACGTAATCGAGCCTACTTCAGTTCTGAAGTGCCGCTCTCAAGAGGCAAAAGGACAAAAAAAAAGAAAAGAAAAGAAAAGAAATTAAAATTATACGCCCATTAGCTGACACTGCTTCTCCGCCTTTAAGCAACTCCCTCGCGCACAAGGAAAAACCTCTAGTATACCCAGGGTATAGACTTCGTTGTTCAAAAAAGTCGACTTCTAGGCAAGACTAGTCGACCCGAGAGTGCACAAATCGTTCCCTATTTCCAGACCTAAACGTGTAAAATCTATACCCTTTGTTGCACCAAAGGGGTGAAAAAAGACCCCATCCTTTAGCGCCACACTAGCTATATAGCTTATAAAAGGAAGTACCTCACCGCCGCGCCCCCTCCTCCCTGGACGACTCGTAAACGCTAACGTTAACAGTGTTTCATCTGCACAGAGTAACGTTTCAGTAGCAATGCCAAAATATAGATATATTTCTCGGAAACTGTTCAAGTAGGACTGCATGGCGCTGTTCCTGTGGTCCGGCTCAGTGACAAAACGACGAGGGAAGCGTAGTTTGGAACTTAAGAAAGATAAATCAAAAATAATCGGTGAGGGATTTTAGGGAATTACTGAACCTCTTCAGACTCAAACTGTGGTAAAATACACCCCTCTTCTAGAGACAGAAGGGTGATTTTTACCCTGTTGGGCGGCACAGAACGGTGCACCTCTCTTCCAAGAGAACACCTCCCCTCCCCACCTACGAGGCCAGATAAGGCCAAATTCCCATCCCCTAATTATAACCTGAATACTGGAACAGCGTATAGGAGCAGCGTATAGAAGAGGTATTAGAATAGCGTACCACCGATCTACCGAGAGAGAAGGCAGTCGATCAGCCCAAACTTTCGTTTCGGCCTCTGGAAGGCCGACTTACTCAGAATACAAAAATATTAATGTAAACTAGGATGCGTAGCCAGTTCTTAACGCTGAGGGCTATTGAAAAAAGACCGTTCTCTTTGGCTTTGGCGTTAGTCTCTCTTTTTTCGCCCCTCTTTCGTCTAAGGGCCTGAGTCACTCGCGTGGTCATTTTCGTGTCTCGCGCGTTTAGTTCGACAGACTAAGAAAAAAGAAAAAAGAGAAACCGCTCGTAGTCTAGTGATGTATTCCACGGTATTTTGGTTTTTGTTCGTTGTTTTAGTGGAATTTTGGGCCTCATTGCCTAACCACTAAAACTAACTTCATGAGAAGAAGACTTAAAATCAGTGGAATACATCACAGGTGAAGTCCATCTCATCTAATTACGGGCTGCCTCCAGTGGCAGGCCCACTCATGCATAATTTCGGTTTTCGGTCGTCTTCGTAGGAAAACGAACACGGGAGGAAGAAAGACACGAGGTCTGGGACTAGAAACGATGTTCTCACAACTTCAGTTTCATACGATTTTCCCTTCCACGAATATTTCTTGTACCTCGCCCCCCTCCCCAAAATGGCTTTGCAGCTTAAAAATTAGTCTTCGTGCCGGTTGCGAAGGAGACTATTTATTTATAAGAGGACTGGCTTTTCATTTTAATATTTTCTTCTAATGCAGCATACGCCGGGGGGGAAACTTCTCATATGAAAGGGGTGGGGATGCTCGTCGTCTCGCTTAGGAGTGTAAATTTCGTATTTTGGTCTCACTTAGCGTGTTCTGGACAAAATGCCATCACATTTAGCCGTGAAGGTCTCGTTTAGGGTTACACGCGATAAAATATAAAAATATATTTATGATATGTATATTTTTAATTCGTTTTATTTACTCCATTCATATAATCCAAGTTTTCTCATTTGTCTGTGTTTTAACATGATCTCTTTTAGGGGTCAAAAAAGGCTTGGGTCACGCCCATATCGGTCTCCTTTAACGGTTTAATTCAAAATAGGTCGACGAGCATCCCCACCCCTCTCATTTGCTGAGTCCTCCCCTCGGAAATTTCGCACACAAGTTCAAAGCTTCACCGGGACAGACGGGAGCTTCACAAAGACCAACTTGAGGAAAATAGCATGTTAATTATTACTGGCAAAGTTTAGTGACTGAGTAGAGCTATTAACAGTTGTTCTCAGTATCTTGCTAAAGCTAAGCTTTTATCATTAAATTTGTGCATGACTTTGTTATCATTTGTTATGCTTCTCCTCAATTCTTTGTGTTCACCCATTTAGCGAGCACGATTGATGTCAGCGTTAGCGAGTTTCGATAAACCTTTGAAAGTTCACAGCTCGTGTAAAGTTTCTTGCCATATCATATCTTTTTATGGAGATGTAAACCAAATAAAGCCACCGCAAAATGGGAACTTAAAAAAGCTCATAATCAATTTATATCGAAGCATAATACACATGGCTTACGACCCGCATTTTCCTAAAGGTGTTTTAAATACGAACGAAAACTGTAAATAAGATTGGCCAACGGTAAAATATTGATGAACCATAGGGTTCAAATTAATATAAGGGTCAATTATTATGCATTGAGATGAACAGCTTGAACCGAAAAAAAAAATCTCATTCAGTGGCCGCCCGTGTAAATGTAATCAGATTCTGAAGTAAAAAAGTTCACTAGCACTGTAGTGCGTTTACAGTGCGTTTTGTTCAGTGTTTTTAATACCCAAGGCCTGTGAAAAATGTTTCGATATTGTTAAACTGAAGAAAATCATAAAACTGAATATTTTTATCTTGTGGGAAAAAATTCTGCGTTTTCATGTAGACTGTAGACCGTGAATTAGGATCATCTATTTAAAGCTCAGTGTAATCCTTGAAGGCCGTGGATTGAGATCAATTTGTGAGTAACCGACATCTCACAGGGAGTTACAGTTGATAATACACTTTGCCTTTTGCCTGGCAATCCCCCCCTGAAAATAGGTTGAGGTCCATACACTTTGCAACATTTTCAAAAGTGTTTGAAAATACACAGATCATGGTTATCACATGTAAAAGACTAAACGTTTTTACCAGGATTGTAACTCAAAGTTTACCTCGTAGCCCGAGGCGGTCTGCGCCGCCTGCGGGTAAAAATATCCCTCTCAAAAGATTGTTTTTGTTCGTTACTGCCGCAGGTTGAGCAAATTTACCGGGCAAATAAGGAAGAATTAACATAATTTACAGACCTTTGCATGTAAATTGATATTCTCTCTCCACCGCGCCATGTTTTGACAGGTGGGAACCGCGAGGGGCGCTAACCAAATGCGATAATAGCGCCAGTCCGAATGCTAAGCTGAAAAATTATTCCTTCGAGCCTGAGTGAGTTTTTGATTCCCGACAACGGAATGGCTTCAAAAGGTGACTTGAACAAAGTTGCTGATGACCTTGCAAATTTACGTCTACCCGTCACCGTGCTCAGTTGGAACATTAACGGAGAAAAACCCGCAAATGCCCGACGTAGAATGATAGAAAGTGCGATTACTTACATCGACCCAGACGTTATGCTACTACAAGAAACCAAGAACAGCATCATCAATCCAAAAGTGGACAGCCATCGGCTGCGCAGTCTTGATAAGTACATCAGTGTGCAAGCTGGAAAAATGGAACAAGCCCAGGTTTTCTATAAAAAGAATGGCAAATTCGAGGAAGTATCCTCATCCACAGTGAATTTGAAGCTACATAACATTCTAAAAGAGATGTTCTCTAAAAATGAAACTCTCCAACTGGGAAGAAGATCAGTGAGAGTGCGGAAATTGATAAGAAATCGTGCTTGTGTTGTTTGTCTTCGACACAAACTTACAAAGCGTGAGATAATTTTCATATCTTACCACAACATCGCAAAGGGTGGAGGTAAAGGAGGTGTCGAGACGAAGGCCGCCCAATTTTGTCAAATCATAGCAAAACTACACGCGTCTACCAAATGCTGTGTCATAGCTGGGGTGGACTTCAACTGCTCTGATTTCGATTCTAAGGGTGTTAAAGTTCAAGATTATGAAGTAACCTTGAGGAGGAAAGAACCAAAAAAAAAAAAAAAAGTCGACTACTTCATCTTGAGTGACAATGCTCCTGTGGATGGTGTTGTTGTGGAAGCTTTCGATCTTTTTCCACAGAACAATGAGGCGCCATTCTACGGAAAACTCCAAAGCCTTTTGCGACACAACACGACGGAAGACCAGTATAAAAAAGCAAATGATCATGATCCCTTAAAGCTTTCCATGCAGATAAGTTGAGTACTATTCGCTTTATTCCCAGCTATGATTTAACTGATCGTTTAGTACAAGAGAGCCGGGCTGTAACGTGTTACAGTAGCTAGTAAACTCACTGGCACGTGTATGTTGTTACATGATAGATCAATTTTGATCTGCACACCAGCTTTACTCTTTATAATCCTGAAAGAATTCTTAAAGATTCTTTAAGATTCTCATTTGTATTATGTATATGTCTCCTAAAGAAGTAGTGGGAAGGACTTGTCAAAGTATAAATTAGATTCATGAAGTTTAGTATCGACACTAACTGGCCTGAATTGTCTTATTAATCATTCAAAATATTTAATTTTCAAGGTCAAAACATGTTCTATGTAAATTTCCTGTCTTTAAAACTTTTGCCTGTTCCTCGGTCGTTGATATAGCCTGTGTATCAGGCGCTTGGAAGTAGTGGGCGAAAGAGAGAAGTGGCGCGAGCGAGGGAGACACGCGAGGGGTGAGGGAGCTCCCTCACCCCTCCCGTGTCTCCTTATCGCGTGCCTGTTGTTTCTTGTGCCCACTACTTCCAAGCGCCTGATAAGGACATAAAGTTATTAATAAGAGATCACGAGTTTAGCACAAATTCTTTATATAGCAATTGTCATCCGTCGAGGGGTATTTGGCTATTATGACTATGCCAGGGGCAGTAGCTTCTAGTTTCAGTTGCAAAATGATTTGCATGTGATGAACAGGTTTATATCGGCCAATCAGAGATGGCCTATCATGGCGCTTATTAAATGTATCCCGGTCTCTGGAAACGGGATTTTGCACTGCGATGAATAATGTGCCCACGTCAAGAGAGGATGAAAATATTAATATTATTATATATTTTTTTACAGATTGCAAAATGATGATGATGATGGTGGCGATGGCGATGGTGATGTTGATGGTGATGGTGATGGTGATGGTGATGGTGATGATGATGATGATGATGAAGACGATGACGATAATAGTGATGATGATGATGATCATGAGGATGATGGTGGTGATGATGGTGGTGGTGGCGGTGGTGTTAATGATGGTGATGATGATGATGGTGGTGGTGGCGGTGGTGTTAATGATGATGATGATGATGGTGGGGGTGGCAGTGGTGTTAATGATGATGATGATGGTGGTGGTGGTGGTGTTAACGATGATGATAATGATGATGATGGTGATGATGATGGTGATGATGGTGATGGTGATGGTGATGGTGATGATGAATGAAACCCAAAGCTCAGTTAATGACCATAGTGTTTTTACCTGGTTAGTATCAGTATTCATTAGTATTCAAAAGCTTCTTCTCTTCAATAAAGGATTAAATTAACTGCAAAAACTGTGGACGAAGATCCTGCTAGTTGTAGACGTTGGATCTCTAGAAAAGAGATCAAATCAGGCAAAATATAAAGAAACAAGAACGAGAAGTCCGAAGACTACAGCAGAGCTGATTTAAAACAACGTGTATTGTTTTTTATAACAATATTTCGGCTGGCCATAGCAATCACAATATTATATAGATGGAGACTGTCGCAATAAAAGGGAGAGGCGGAAATGACGTACAACATAAAAACTGGAAAGGAAAAATACTAAGGATATGGATTACAATAATAAAAAACAATACACGTTGTTTTAAATCAGCTCTGCTGTAGTCTTGGGACTTCTCGTTCTTGTTTCTCTTCAACAGCCCCTTCAATAGCTTAAAAGTCGAGAGAGACAAGAGACGGCTGGGAACGAGACAGCTTCATAGGGCTAACGCTAACGTTTTGATAATGTGTCCAGTTAAAGTAGAGATATTGACTCGACACAGTCAGCTTCCTCTGCTTTACTTATTAAAGCAAAAGAAGATCAGAAAACGCGATTCTAGACGTACTTGACACCTTGGGACTCAAATTTCATCACATTAATTTTGCTTACATGTAATTTAATTGGAAAAAAGTTGAATTGGGAGTAGGCATTGATCGCACTTGCCTCAACTAACATTAACGCTTTTTAAAAACGGCTCAAATGCATGACCAAATATTCTGTAGCAATAGCAAAATAGACTTTGGAGATTCTTATTTAAAAATTAAACAAAAAATTGTATTTTTCCCGACAGCTTCCACAAAGAAAGTGGTATTGGCTGTGTCTATTTATCATGTTGGAGGAGGACTGCGGATGTTCACTATCCAACTACTCTTTGTATCTAGCAGGAGAAACCAAGCGAAGATCAACTTAGCCTGCATGGCAGGTGTTCGAAGAGGAAGGGAAAGGGGATTTTGGGCGCAAGAGAAACGCGGGGTGTGCGCGAGGAGGGAACGGGAGGGAAACATGTTTTGAAGACTGAACAATCAGGATTTTAACATTAGCCAGGTAGATGTTTCCCTCCCTTTTTCTCTCGCCTAAAATCCCCTTTCCCTTCTTCTTCTATCGCCTGCCACGCAAGCTAAGATCAACTTGAAGCTACGTTAGACTATAATATTAAAGTAAGGCCCATCTTATAAAACAGGCTTCTTGTCGTACCTCTCGTGTTTAAACTTCGTAAACCTGTCATTCCTAAACAGCAGTGATGTTCAAACTCACCGAGCCGAGCCTATGTACCGCCGGTGAAGACTAATAGAAGTGGCTGTCTTTTTTTCTCGGCCGATGAATCGAACATTCCTCTGTTACAAAGCCAGAGGAATTTATATCTTTACCGGGTTCTCGGAGAAACGTCACAGGGTAGGCTTAATGGAAGACTTTATTTGCGTGCTGAGTTAAATTAGAACGCAACTTGGAACTTCTAAATTCTTCTTAATTAATGCCACAAACGCTGATTTGCTTAAACCTAGCTAGCTTAACACGTGACCATGTAACATAAACAACAATAAACTTCTAATGCTTTAAGATTTTCAGGGGTCCTAAGGAAACTTTCTGCCTGAATCTGAATTGAAAAACGTTGCAGCGATAGGGAATCATAATTAGCTTTCATTTACCGTCAAATTCCGAAAATAAGGCCCTCCATGTATAAGCCCCTCCAAACTCGTAACGCAAAAAACCCTCCGTTAAATCGTCCCTCCAAATATGAGCCCCCCGGGGGCTTGTACTTGGAATTTGCTCTCAAATGCAAAGTAAAACAAAGCATAAACGGTTAATTTCCTTTCAATAAGGCTAGCCTAATCGATTTTGAAACGCAAGTTTCCCTCCATAGATAAACCCCTCCGAATATAAACTCCTCGAAAAATAAGCCCCTCAAAAAATGCCTTCGAAAAATATAAGCCCCGGGGCTTATTTTCGGAATTTTACAATATGTCACTCTTTCGAGAAAGTGCACGCGATAATCTCGAAAGGCATTGTGGGTGGTTTTGAGTTTATGGTTCTATAAAGAATTTTATGTTTGCGAGTGCTTATTAAAGGTGGCTCGACCCAGTATTTTTATAGGCAAACCCTCAATCTTTGAATCTCTTATACTTAAGCAAATCGATCTGTATTGTAAAAGGATTATGACGCATGGATTACACTTAGACTTAACTTTAATAGAGTATTATTTTTTGGGCTATGGGAATAAATGTCACGTGGCAATGACGTCACGAATTCTTTGGATAAATTTCTTCTGCTGTGCGAAGTTTCACAAAAATCTATAAGAGGAATTTCGAGATATCTTGAAATTTCTATAAAAAGGGATGCATGGGCTGAAGACTCCGAAAAAAAGAAAAACGGAAATTTCGGTGGGAGGAAAAGTGTAATTTCCGATTGGAAGAAAGTTGTTCCATTTGGTCGTAAACCCCGGTACGTCGCGGTGTTTGACAGATTTTTTTTGCCGTAGACCTGGAACTGGTACAAACTACGAGAAACGTGTAATGCATCAGTCAATTCCACCTGCGCCCAGGCCCTTTCCCCCCCGGGCTGACCCCCGGGCATTAGCATCTTGGGCGCTGGTCTACTGGGGCGATCCCGCACCTATTTGAAAGATTGTTTGTGATTAGCTGGGAAAACAATAGGGATTGTCACATAACAATGCCCCTATCCCTGATAACAATGGAAGTGCAGATTAAAGAGGGGCTATTAAATAAGAGGTTTAGAACGGTGCAAGTCTACTGGTGGAATTGACTGATGCATAAATGGAACCCGAAATTCCGTTCGGAAATTCCAACCGGGAAAACGGACCCACCTTGGGCGCTTTCCATTTAGTCAAAATTTCCGGAATTTCTGGTTCGGCGGTAAATGGAACACGTTTCGTCGGCTCGTTCCAATGGAAAATTCCCAGAAAAAGTGGAAAATCTAAAAAGGTGGACCCGTTTTCCCGGTTGGAATTTCCGAAGGGAATGTCGTGTTCCATTTACCTTTCTCGTAGTTTGTACCGGGGTTTGTACCAGTTGCAGGTCCACGGTCGGGCATCGCGACGTACCGGTGTTTACGACCAAATGGAACAACTTTTTACCAATCGGAAATTCCACTTTTGCTCCCACCGAAATTTCCGGTTTTTTTTCCTAAATGGAAAGCGCCCCTTTTCCACTTTTTTCTGGGAATTTTCCCGTGGAACGAACCGACGAAACGTGTTCCATTTACCGCCGAAGTGGAAATTCCGGAAATTTTGACTGAATGATCTACGAAGACCCTCGAAGTCCTGCTCTCAGTTCCCTCATGTAAGCTACACGAAGTGACCATAACAACCTCCGTTGTCATGGCGGACAAAGCTGACAGAGCTGCGGAACAAAGAATTGTGATCTCTTTTTTGAGGATTTTCTGATCAATTTTTGAGAATGTGACCTCTTAACATCATCCAAAGTACTTCTTAAACAGCTTAAAGTCGAAGTGTAAAGACAAGGAAGGCCATAGTTGAATTATTTGTAATCGAACATTCGTTCAGTCCAACGAAGCTCCAATATGGCGGATACTCTAGGCGGCAGTCAGGTGTCTGAAACTGCATCAGAACCTGGAATAAAAAGTCCTGAGCATTCTATGTCTCCGGAAAGTGTTACTGATACAACACCAACAACCCAACCAAAATCCCAGCCACCAAAAAGACGCGGAAAAGGTATAGCTTATACCCAATGTATTTTTTCTTATTAGCTGAATACATGTAGATTGTAAAGTTATGAGATTGTAGGTATCCATCGCCTCAGCCGGATCGTTCTTCTTAATGGTCAGATCGTTCCACAATTTAGTCAGAACTTTTCACAAGTCTTTAAGCTACGAGCAAAACGAGGGCGTTACTCGTGTATGTATACCTCGTTCTTGCTGCAGTGTAATAGACCTTGTCACGGTTTTCGACGCCATCTTGACGAGTAGGCAAACGCGTGAAAAATTACAGTGTTTGTATGAGAATCTAATGTCGAATAATTTCCGTAAAACGGCTGTTCTGTAAAAAAAATCAATTGTAAACTAAAGCTACAAAGAAAAGGATTGTCCTAAAAATTTTGGGGGCGTACCTGTGCTTAAATTTCTCCGGAGGCTTGCTTTAGCTTTTCCATATATTTGTCTGTAATTTTCCCGGGACTTTCTTACCGACAAATGTATAGAAAATTTTAAAAAGTGGTTCTAGGTCTTCTAGTGCATGAAACACCCTCAAATTTTTTTAGGAGAATCGTTAGGAGTGCGAAGCTTTAAAGTTTACCAGTCATATTTTTTTCAGAACAGCCGTTCTACGGAAGTTATTCGACATTAGAACTGTAATTTCTCACGCGTTTGCCTACTCGTCAATATGGCGTCGAAAACCGTGACAAGATCTATTAAAAAGTGAAAAAAGTGTTTTACACTGAAACTGTGGCATGATCTGGCTACGATCTGGCTCAGAATAATCTGGCCATGGAACAAAGTGATGGTAAAACAGATTGTTTATAGCCAATATATCAGAACTTCACTCCTGGAATCAATTCAATTTGAATTATACAACCTAAAAAACTTTCTGCCTTCTGTTTAGCCCCCGACTTACCTGTTCATGAAAGAAGGAATTGGCTAATACACTTACACTACATAAGGAAAGAATACAATCGATGTAAGGTGAGTTGTAAATGATGTTTTTTATGATCCATACAGTATTCCAAGGGTATTAAAGTTCATTCATGTTGTTTCATCAGCAATTAACCATCGTTATTCTTTCAGGCTCTCGTAAGTGACCAACTTCAGGAAACCCAAGGAATGTGTGAATATGCTCTGTATGTACAAGGTACATGTAAAGGAACAATCTGGGGGTATTTAGTTCAGGAAACCCAAGGAAGGTGGGAATATGCTCGGTAGGAACTAGGTACATGTAAAGGAACAATCTGGGGGTATTGGAGTGGGTGGCGGGGGGGGGGGCGCAGAAAATTAGCTCTTGTAATAATATTGTGGATTTCAAATGACAGATCCAGACATACACACAAATCCATTTCTAGGTTTGTTCATGACATGTTGAGAAATCTGGAAAATGTGGGTTTGAGGTCCAGATTTTTTGTTGATCAATGTACCCCTTAAGTGTACATTGCGTTGTACTGTACTGTTAACTGCTCTTTTTTTTTCTTTTATTGTGAAAAATTGTTTCAGAGAGTGGCTGGACTACTAAATACCATTCAGATATTCACTACATTGCATGCATACATCTATATTTATTAAGTACAATTTATGTCTAGTGACAGCAACCTTTTAAAGAACAGAATAAGAAAATGTGATATTTTAATATTTTCCTTTGCTGTTTTATTCCTTTTATTTTATATAGCATTAATTCTGCGTCAGGAAGGACAAATTCAAGAATCATTAGATCTCTTCCAAAGGACTGTGCAAATCAACCCCCAAAGTGCAGACAATCTAAAGCAAGTGGCAAGATCCCTGTAAGTCTTCACTGCTCTGTTAAATGTCTAATCATAGCTATAACTAAATTGTCAAATCTGATTGGCTATCAACTGCCCTGATTTCAGCCTTAATTGGACAGTTTAATAGGACAGTGCGTGTCATGCCTAAGTAATTGGACAGTACGCGCCATCACGCGCGCGCTAAATGGCTTTTTTTTTCACTGCTAGCAAAACAAAATTTCAAATTTCTTGTGTTTTGATGTAAAAAATAGCCTATTATATCACAAATTTTGTTAAAGTTATGATTAATTGGTAACAGAACTTCCTGTCGTCCAATTTGGTCTGTAATCATACTCATGATTAAACAAATCGGACTCCCGCTAAATAATGGGTCGTTAGTAATAATTATTGTTTTTGTGTTCTCAATCCTTCATGCATGTAAATTGAACAATTAAGTACTTTGTAAGTTCCATATACATGTACTGTTGATAATCCATTGACAGATTAGCCTTGCTAATGGCAATCACGTCAACATGCATGCACAACAAAGCCTCTAGAAATTCAGCCTCTAGTTTCCCTGCAGAAACCTGTATGGATGCAAGAAATTTTGGTCATGCATGATGTCAGTGTACACCCATCCAACCCTCTGCCTATATAGACCCTGGTGAAAGGGAAGGGGGGTGGTGGGGGGGAGTGTGTATGGAAGGTATAACAAGAATCCCAGATATGCAGCTTGCATTTGTGGTGGCTGGGTTAAATTACAGATTTTCATGGCACTTGCTTTTTATAATCTCAGGACTTCTGCTTGGAGATGTATTTTTGACAAGTTGAAGATTAAAACAACCATGTGAAATAATTGTCAGAGTGATCACAAGCCTAGAGTTATAGCTTTCTCAAACTGATCATTGGGAATAATTCATAAAGAAATACATAAAGAAATTCGTGTTTTCTCGAGTGTGTGGAAATCAGATCAAAAACTGTTTATTGCATCTTTACATGAACGTTTCTTCTGAAAATTAATCCTTTTACAGTGGACTTACATGTAAAGAGTAATATGTATGAAATGCATTCGAGTTTCAAGGTGTTTGAAATTGCAATGAGATAACCCATCAAGATTTTGATGGGTTATCTCATTTTAATATCAAGCACCTTGAAACTTGACTGCAGTTCATACTTTCAACCATACATGTAGCTCTTCTATAAAGTGTTTAATGTATAGTGATGAAACACAGTCTCTTGTTTGATATATTACATGTACTTTGAGTAACTTTTTCATTAACTATGCCATGTTGATATTAACAACTTGGTTAACCTCTTTAGCTTCCTTCTTGCTCGTCACAAAGCTGCACTCGAAGTGTACAATGAGGCTGCAAAACTAAGCACCAAAGACTGGGTATGTATGCAGTCTTTGTAATACACATTGTTCAACTTTTTGGTGAGCTGACATTTAGATTTAAAACAAATTTAGGACACCAAAACAAGCCCAGCTACAATCAACCACGAAATAAATTGTTGACAGAGACATTGTTCTCAAATAGGGTAACTTCAGGGAACAAAAGATTTGACACCCCTCCCCTGTCCCGTCCATTCAAAGTTGGGGTGTTTGTTGTTTTCTATGGGTAGCTCAAACAGTTGCACAACATTGCATGGAAGGGATGGGGGAGCAAAAGCTATATTTCCCCCTTTTGAAGTCAGTAAAACGTAAAAAAGCCCTGGCAGTTTAGGGCAAAGTGTCTCAACTCATTTTGTTGCCAATTGCAATGTACAACTGTAGGTCTCAACAGAGGCACGTCAAATTATTCCCTAATTTTACTTGCCACCTTTTGTTTACACTTGCTTATTTTTGTGTTTGAAAAGATTTAACTAAAGTTTCATTTTTTTGCAATATTTTCATTTTAGGAAATCTACCATAATCAAGGTAAGACTATTTGTCTGTTGATCGATTTGACATTGTTAATGTTGTTGTTTTTGTTACATGTAGTACGTAATAATTATTGAATGATAATTTTGTGTTATTAAGCATGTAAAAAAAGTCATGTTTGATGGCCTGGGGTTAGTGGATTTTGCGACGGCAGGCTAGTGAATTCTGTTCTTAACTTGGCCAACAGGCAAGTAAAGTTTGTTAGAATTCAAATTACAGATTAAATTTCTGTGTGACAAATAATTATTGTTGAAATTCAATAAATTCATGTGGATTAAAAACTGGTTTTAAGATCATCAGACAAAGTGAAATTATTAATTTTCCATTTTTTTTGGTTCCATAATAGCAAGTAATTAACTAACTAATGGTGTAATCAGTTAATTAACTATTAATCCTGTGTGTCAAAATTTATTCTGGCTAGTTAAAATGACTCTTTTGCTAGGACGTACAGTGTACTTGCTACATCTTGTCAGAATGGCAAGGTTAAAGCTGACTTTCTTTGCACTGTGGTTGTCTTAAGTACATTGTATGAGAGATTTGTTGAGAATACCCTTCTTTGGCCTTGGTGGATTTAACAACTCCTTTATCTACATAATTCCTCATACAGCGTATCATATTCAGCCTCATGCAATAACAATTGATAAGTATGAAAAAAGTGACCAAGTCAGTGGTTGAGTTGATATTTACCAGTATTTGTCTGTATGACACTCCATCATTTATTACATTGTATGCTGTACCACTTTATTGAATGTCATGAATTTGTTTCTCATATTGATCCTTTATTAGGTGTTTGCTATATGTATCTGAAGGATTTTGAAAAGGTGAGTGTACTGATATATTATTATTTTGACTAACTCCACACACTTAAACAAGATAAATAAAACAAATTATCCTCATGTAATCCCCAGGACACTGCAACACCCATAGCCTGACAAAAAAAATGGACATTTTGCAATGTCACTAGACTTTCTAAAAGTCCTTAATTTTTTTCTCCTGGATGGTTATGCCATTCTAATGGACTTTTCATACCTGTTTGGCATGAAATTCACCGGTCAAAAATTCTACTGGTGACATCGTGACAATTGACCAATAGGACAGTGAGTGATAAATTATTTACACCGCTCCCGACACAGGATACAGTGTATGTCAATCATTTTTTTCCAGCGTGAGTTTATGATATAATTCAAATCCATTCAGGCAAAATAAGTCGACCTTGAGACTTCGTCGCTTGCTCAGTGGCTGCGTTACCTCATGCATTGAAAGCTCGCTTTGCACACTTTTAAGAACTTATGAGAGGTCGACTTGTAGACTTGCAGTGTCACCAGTGATTCCCTGCATAATGACGTCTGAGGATCAACAGCAGGGAAACTGCTGGTGGCACCGCAAAATTCTGCCTCGTGTCTCAGGCTACAACACAAACTGGCACCAATAATTTAAGTATGAATTTTATAAATTGAATTTAATTTAATACCTACATGTAATTGGCAGGTTCAAAAAATTAAAATATATAGTATTGAAAAAATTCATGAATACTTCATACATAGTATTACATTATGTCTCTGTGCAGCAAAGTGTATTATCCAGTACAAGTATCCAGATTTAAATTTTAAAGGATTGATATTATTAACATTCACTGTCATTGTAGGCTAAAGATTGCTTGAAGCATGCTTTGCAGTACCACCGCCATGATGCTTCGTTCATTCAGCTTGGGAAAGTTCTTCTCTTAGAGGGTGACACGGAATCAGCCATTGATATTTTCAAAAGAGCAATAGAGTAAGTTCCAGTTCTTATAATTTATGCTTATAATTATAATGTACATTGTTCATAATAAATTTTATATACATACTATAAGTGAGGATGATGCGTAAGTGAAACACATGCAAAAATATGAGTGCGTGGTTTGGGAAAAGGGAGTGGTGGTGGAAAAAAAAGAAGGCTCTGCCCTTCCTCTCCCAGTTTCCTCCCATTTTATTGTCATATTTGGGCTTTCTCCATTTCGTGGACCCGACTATCTCAGAACCTGGAACAGGCTAATATGACATGAGAAGGGGTACTTCTTCCACGACTTACAATGTACTTCATTCAAATTCCAAAGAGTTTGCAAAACTATAGCTGCACTTTCAAATGGATGCAATGTGGTCCCAGAAATATCTATACCCACTTTACGAAGGAGGTGGGGCAGTGAATGGTAATTCAGTGGGTGAAAGCCCATACCTTTATAGGACAGTGGATGGTGGAGCCATTTATAAGTACCAAGGGCCCAATGGTCAGTAGTACTTCCTCTCCTTAAACTGCAAGAAGATTTTAGCCAATTATTTTGTTAATATCTTTGTTCATCATTAACAATTTGAGCTTTTGCTGTATCTGCAGATTTTCACCTGAAAACCCTGACTTAATGACTACACTGGGTCTTCTTTACCTTCAGGTAAATAAATGGTACTGTACAGTGTACATGAGAAAGCTTGATTAACTATTATTATTATTGTTATTGTTTCCCTTAAACTACACTGTACTGTTTCTTGCATTGCAAGATAAATATTAAATAATTTTGTTTTTTCACTGTCTACATGTATCTTTCAGCTGGGACAGACCTCAAAAGCTTTTGAGCATCTTGGGAATGCCTTAACTTACGACCCAAGTAATGTGAAGGTACAGATATAAGCCTACATTGTAAAATAAACTGTTTCCTCACAATTAGGTCTATACTTGTACTATAGTTAAGATTAGTTTTTGAGTCCACTTGCAAAGTTTTGATAGTAATAATTTTTTCTACAAGCAGTTAGTAAATAGGCCACTTGCCCCAAGCCTCTTTGTACATAATAATGCAGAGAAGACAATGGGTCAGTTATTTAAACTACGTCTAACTTAGACTGCGGTTTATGAAATCTTTGAACTTCCGAATCTCTTCCTTAGTGGGTTATGTTAAGAGGGCAATATATGGTCTATATTATATGCATTAATGAAACTGTTCACGATAGATGGTGTTTACATAAAAGTGTTTGGCGAACTGATGGTGGATTAGAACACGGTTTTGTTAAACACTGGCCAAACTCCGTTTAAATAACTGGCCCAGTGAGTTGAGGGAAAACCTAGTCATGCACGTAAAAAACTAAGATTAACCATTTTCCCGAAAGTGAGATTCTAAATCTCTCGTATCATGGGTAAACAAAAAGGCGATGCTAAAGGGTCCTCTTATTTTTTGCGGTGCTGTAGTTCACCTGGAACAGTCATCATCTGGCCTCAGTTGCTTAATGTGGATAATGCTGTCCACCGGATAGCCTGCGTAGTGTCCTCGAGATTTCTTCCTTCGCCCTAAAAAACAAATAAGTGCCTGCTACGCAGGCTATCCAGGGGATAAATCCCTATCCAGTGGAGAACGCAATTAGTCTCCCTAATACAGCTATTTCGAGAAAGATTGTCGGAAAAAGTGCACGCGACAACCCCGAAAGGTATGGTGGGTGTTTTTGAGTTCACTGTTCTTCGAAGAAATTTGAAAGAATGGCACAAGAAGCCATGGACCTATGTTTGCGAGTGCAAAAGGAAAGCAACAAAAGTAAGTTCGACAGCTGCAGTGTCAGGAACAGCGTATTGATCATATCCCATATTACCTTTCGGTTTTGTCGCGTGCACATTTTTTGCGACAACCTTTCTCGAAATAGCTGTATATTTATCCGCTGGATGGCGCTATCCAACGTTTTAACAACCATAGTCTGGTTAGCAAACCTGAGGCTGACCGTACACTCATTTTACCATCTCCTCTCTCCATCAGTGCTCCGTTTTACAGGTATTTAAATATTCATGGAAAGGAAATAAGTGAAACAAGGATTTGAGCTCACACCTGGAAATCGAATTTGCGTACAGATGGCCAAATGTGCCAGTCCTTGTTTCTTGCTTTCTGGTTCATTGTATCTTTGAGAAAAAGGCTGACAGAGTTTCGTTTTCCTATTCCAGGCTATTCTAGGAGCAGGTTCCATTATTCAGTCACATGGTGACTACGATGTTGCTTTGACAAAGTACAGGATCGCCGCTTCCGCCACACCCGAGTCACCTCACTTGTGGAGCAACATTTCTTTGGTTTTACTTCTGATTGGATGAAAAGGTGGCGCGAATCTTTTAAGCCAATCGCATCGTGTAGAAAGTGCAAAACCAATTACTTTTCGACACTCAAATGAAAACCGCTCTATTCCATCTTGTTTAATCAGTCAAATGTTGGCAAATTTCTTTGGAGTTGAATTCTAAAGAACGGTATCAAAGTTCAGGAAAAGAAAAGGAAAATTGTTGTTTTGCGTTCCCGTCCTCGACAAAATGTGAAATTAGGCATTTCCATGTTGGAAGTCGTGCAACGACGGCTAAAAAATGTACCAAAAAGCGTGATGCAAAGTTGTTGTTTTGCCAATCTAAACCTCTTGGTTTTTTTCCGTTCTCGTTGACGTCGCCGTTGTCGTTGCTTAATCCATTAAGTCCCAAGATTGACTGGTCAACATCAATTTTCTCAATACATTATCAAAAGAAAAGGTTATGAGATTTAATAAAATGATCACCTCAGGGAAAATGCTTTGATCCTTTATCAAATTCTCTCAATTGAATCTTCAAGAAATGTATGGAGATCAATGTGGAGAATTGGTATGTTGAAATTGAGTAGAGCATCTGGACTGGTAACCAGAAGGTCATAGGTTTAGCTCCTGTTGGGAGTTCTCGGATTTCTTCTTCCAGCCGCCTGTGTCTTTGATTGAATAAACATCTTTCTCATGTATTCACCAGACTTAAACTTCACCTTCACATTACTATCATTACGTGTCAGTAAGTTTGAACAAGTAACGGTCTTTATTATATATAGCTGAATCCGCGTGCGGGCAGGATAAAGCGAATCCTGTCGTCTGATTGGCTACCCGAGGGGGCTAGATAGGCCTACATTGCCCACTGGGGATTTCACGAGTTGGTACAGAACGAAAATCTTCTCTTTGTGGCCATATGATTAGTCCTTTATTGAACACTGTTGTTTAGTCAAAATGGGTGGATAGTGGCCTCGTTCTTGGCCATTATCTGAGATTCATCTTGACCTCTGGCTTGGTCAGTAAGTCCATAAACTAGATATTGAATATGAGATTGTTCTGTAACACCAGCACTGTGTAGGAGATAACTCGACAGCATCTGTAGTCTACCCGAAGCTCGTACCACCATATTATGAGCTGTGTAGCTTCTGAAATACAGTCTGTAACTGGCATACAAATTGTACCATGCCTCTTTGAAGCTACTCCTCTCCTCTAAAACCAGTAACATGGAAAAAGTAATAGCTTTTTTGTCATCATTTCAAACATGACCCAAAACACAAGCTCTTTGTGACAGGAGAGGGGAAGGGTTTAAGAGGAAAGTTAGTCAAGGTAATAATTTATAGCATTGCTTTCTAAACGTTTGCCGAACTAATTGTGTAAATTTTTTAAAATTTTGAAACTGCATGGCGATCTGTTCCAACTGACTTTTTTATGATTGTTTTTTAGGCCATCAGTTGTCTCAAACGTGCTACATACATGGCACCATTTGAATGGAAAATTCTCTACAACTTGGGAATCATTCACCTCACAATGCAACAGTATCCTTTGAAAGTACTGAGTGTCATACCGTTTTTTTTTGTTTACTGATAAGTTAAGTTTGAGGCTAGTCATATACAATCAAACCCCGCTGTACGGACACCTCGTTATTACATGTTGGTAGTTCTCTTTCATCGCGTTGAACACAGACACCCATTAATGCCGACAGCAGACACTAATTTCTTGTTCAATTGAGAGATTCTCATAGAAAATGAAAGGGCTATGTCTTGAAGGTATTGCTGTTTTATGTCAATTCTGCCCTGAAGTGCCTTATTATCCCTGCACAAAATGCCTCATTAGAGCTCCGAGGAAGATATTGAATACAGCCGAACCTCCGCTAACGGCCACTTTTTTTTCGTCCCGGCGGACAAAAAAATCCATACATTGACTCTTGTTTAAAACCTCTCTACAATGGCCACTTTTTTCTGTCCCCAAGGTGGCCGTTGTTGTCTGGGGCATGGCATTAAAACTTGAAAAGGTTGGCCCAACTGCTCTGCGTTTCAATCCATGTCCACCCTTGCCATCCATTGCAACAGACAACAGGAAACACTTTCAATGCCTAAATATGGTCTTAAATAACAAAAATGGACCATTTCTTTTTTAATTCAGTTGTTGCGAATTTTTTTCTTTTAAAATAGCAAATAACTTGTCATAGTCACTCTTACCCTGCTAAAATCACATTGCTTACTGCGTGCTGTAATGAGCCCTACTTGTTTTAAAGGCAAAGATTGATTTGATTTGATTTGAAAGCTTCGGATGACAGCGTGTTGATCCATCCCTTGGATAGTACTAGCTACCTTTTTGGACAAGTGGGGCCAGGTGTATTCACAGTGCAGGCCTATTTAGACAGCTAGCAGTCACTTATTTTTCTTTTGAGTCACAGTAGATCGAGACAACGTGGTGGGGGAGGGGTGAGGTTGGGGACTATCTCTCCTGCTTTTAACCATTAGTGTGCATGATTTTATTTTTCCGCTCGCTGCGCGTGTCTCTCAGGAAGAGGGACGACTACTCGTGGTCTAAGGCTTTCGCAAACCTGCGATCAAGCTGTCGTTCCTTCGACTTCCTTTGTTCTGCTGCAGACTTAAGCGCTCCTACGAGAAGAAAGTACGCCTATAGCAGGTTACAAAAGTTCCCTTCCGTGCCTCTTTTGGGTTTCTCGGACTCGTCTGCACTCCAGTTATTTTGGTTAAATAGAAAACTGTTACCTCTCAGAAAAATGCCTAAAGATCAGGGCCATAAGAGGAATCTTGAACTTGTGCCATCCAAGAAGAGTAGACCCAAAACGTTTGTCCTTGACATCATGTTTTTCAGATATGCCTCTGCTTTTCATTTTCTTAGTGCAGCGATTACGCTCAAACCAAAACATGGCCATCTTTTCATGTTGCTGGCAAGTAAGTACCCCTTTTCTCCGTGTGAATACGCGTGCATTTAGGCAACATCGGCTGAAGCCAGATTATTTTTTTCAGTAAATTACATGAAGAACAGCTTAGTCCAACTTTGCTTTGTTGTAACATAAATAATCAGAACTTGGATGTTTTGAACCCGAGTCATGTGCTTCATAACCTACATCCAGAATTTTCAGCAGTTCTACAAAGTTTAGTTGGGTTCTGCTCCAGTATCGTTACGTTAAGAGAATAATATAAAATGCGTTGTGTAAACCTCATAAGGTGTTTATTCTGGCTTCACCCGATGTTATCTAATGCCAACCATCTGTTAAAGTAGGGGCCTGTAGTGGTCGCGTATTCCATCTCCAGAGCTGGGGCCCGTTTCTCGAAAGAATCTGGAATAGTAGCAAAGTTCGTGGCTNTAAAGATCAGGGCCATAAGAGGAATCTTGAACTTGTGCCATCCAAGAAGAGTAGACCCAAAACGTTTGTCCTTGACATCATGTTTTTCAGATATGCCTCTGCTTTTCATTTTCTTAGTGCAGCGATTACGCTCAAACCAAAACATGGCCATCTTTTCATGTTGCTGGCAAGTAAGTACCCCTTTTCTCCGTGTGAATACGCGTGCATTTAGGCAACATCGGCTGAAGCCAGATTATTTTTTTCAGTAAATTACATGAAGAACAGCATAGTCCAACTTTGCTTTGTTGTAACATAAATAATCAGAACTTGGATGTTTTGAACCCGAGTCATGTGCTTCATAACCTACATCCAGAATTTTCAGCAGTTCTACAAAGTTTAGTTGGGTTCTGCTCCAGTATCGTTACGTTAAGAGAATAATATAAAATGCGTTGTGTAAACCTCATAAGGTGTTTATTCTGGCTTCACCCGATGTTATCTAATGCCAACCATCTGTTAAAGTAGGGGCCTGTAGTGGTCGCGTATTCCATCTCCAGAGCTGGGGCCCGTTTCTCGAAAGAATCTGGAATAGTAGCAAAGTTCGTGGCTCACAAACCCGTCAATTTTGCGTCGTTAACTTACAGTTTTTATTGCGTGCATCATTTTCAAAATAATTCTTAAAACTTTGATTTTTATTGCAAACACGACAAACATAAAACAGCTTTCCGGACCCGAAAAGTTTCGGGACTTTTGAGAAACGGGCCCCTGGGCCAACACTTCTGGCCTAGCTACTGCTTTAAATAGCGAAGGTATGCTGAGTGGGTAACCTGTGTTTAAACCCCGTCTAGAAAACCAACCACATCGTGTCTTGGTAAGTTTGGTAAAACTGGCAAGATCGTGCTGGCTGTGTTTAAGATCATGGGTCAATTTAATAAAATTTTTAGTCTGGCCATTTTTTTCAGACCGTAAAACAGTTGTTACACTTTTAAATTACAGTTGAACAAGTTTTATCTTGTCATTGGGTGGTGACGTAAAGCCGTTATGGCCTTGTCTCCTTCATCCTTCTTTCATCAGTATACTCGAAGGGGCAACTGTTTGGAAAGAATAAGGGGAGATTTCCGCGAATGTTTCTTCCTCTACCTCTGTTTCAGTTATAGCGCACATCGTACAGTTAGTTCATAAATGGGCCAGTGGCGATGCCAGCTTTTAATACCGGCTGGCCCTTCTCTTCGGGAGAGGGGATTAGAGAGACGCAAAAAAGTGTTCTTGATTAGAAATGTTGCGACACTTAAATAAGGTCGATTTTTACCTTGCGCTTCTTAGCCTGCGAGAGCAGACGCATTCTTGGCGGGTGAAACAAGAGCCGAAAAAGGCGTCTGCTCTCGAAGGCTATGTATATCTTTGTCTTGTATTATTTTTCAGTTGCTCTGACGCACTTAGACGACCAGGAAAATGCAAGACATGCATATGAACAGGCAGCAATGTTAGACAGGTAAGTCAAGTGTAGTAACGGTCGCCGGTGATAAAAAGTAAAACTCTTTTTGTCCGACTGCCCTACTTGTTTCAAGACAGCTATAACCAGTGCTATGGAAATGATAAAATCAATTTCGACAGGAGCATTTATCCAAAGGATAGCATTATCCACCTTTTGAACAACTGCATCATTCTGTAGGATTCAAAAGAACTAATTTTATTGTGGAACGAGACATCGAGGGCCTATTATCAGGAAATTACAGTCAAACCCCGTTAATACAACATATACGGACTCTGTGGGGGCCATAGAAATTAAGTGTCCGTATTAACAGGGTGTCTGTATTAAGTGGGTTGAATTTAGATAAAATGTAAGGGCTTTTTTTCCCCAGGGACAAAGCAAACTGTCCGTAATAATAAGGTGTCCGTTAAGCGCGGATTGACTGTAAAAGGAGTAACAAAATTCAGTAATATAGGAACTGCTCCTGAGGTGTGTACTGATTGGTCGCAGAAAACACTAACACATTGTATATCATTACTTCCCATTGTTTCACGGTTAGGGTATCGAGCCAATTGGCCTTTAGGGTTAGGAGGTCTGCCAAAGACCCACAAAATTTGCCGCCATTATGGGATAAAGATTGCGGAATTTTGTTTAAGGTGACAAAAAGGTTTAAGGTCTAAAGTATTACCTTTATACATTTGTTTTAGTGTAAATGTTCATTTTCAAACCTCGGAGTCGATTAGTAAATCGATTCTTCTTTCTATTTCCAGCACCGATCCATCGATAAACTTGAATTTTAGCATCTTCCTCTACAACTCAGGGGAGCGAAAAGAAGCTGCAAAGCAATTCAGTATTTACGAAAAAAAGATGGAAACCGCCAGATCAGTTAAGGGGAGTGATATTGACCAAGAGGTACATGTATTTGCATTAGGGCCTCTTTTCATGGAGGTGGGGGACCCCAGATAGGTGAGGTAACATGTGGCGGGTCACCCCACCTATCACGTAAACGTGATCAAATGGACAGGCGGGTTACCCCACCTAAGCGAGTCACCTCACCTTCCTGGGGTCCCCCACCTCCATGTAAACAGGCCCCTTAGTTTCCAAAGAGAATGCCTAGCCTGCGAGTAAGCTCTCTATCTGGGGAATCGCGGAAAGTCATGCGAGAGCCGCACGCGATAGGAACCACTCGCGCGTTTTCTCGCGCCTTCCTTCGCTCGCCATAATTGGAAAGCTTTCTCGCAGGCTAGAAAATGCCATCATGATTGGCCGGAAAACTATTAAGCAAATGATTGCTACCTTGCCACTCGTCACTTTTGTAATAACCAATTTGACGCGCTTGACAATTATGGTCTGCACGAAAGTGAGATTCAATGCCAAGGTAATCAGAGGCTTTCCTCTTTCTCTAAGTTATCAAACTCGTTCTTGTGCTCCTGTCTCGCGCGTTATTTTTCCATGAGCCCGTCACACAGAACTCGGACCATCGTGTTCGTGGTCAAACCCTGGCCAAGACAGAATTGCTCGGATTAGTTTTTAATGCGGCTGCTGATTTCAGTTATAACTGCGACGGTTTCATTGCAGTACTAATACCATATTGATTCGATTAAGCGTCCTGGGAACGTAATTATTTTTGGGCCTTGAAAGTGGGCGCTTATGCGAGGCTAAGCGCGTATTTAATTTTCACCACATTCAGTAAGAAGTCAGCTTATTTTTCAACAAAGTAATGAATAATAACGAAATGTGGAGTTACTACCAAACCAGAATATTAACCGTTTACCGAACGTTTTCTGTGAGATACTAAGAAAACTCGGCCTTCGCGAAAGTCTCCTAGTAGTACTTAGTCAACTTCAAATTCATTGTCACCAAGGTCAATAAGTAGTGAGGTTTATTAGTAGGGTAACAATCAAGGCACTCTAGTATTTCTGGAGGGGTCGAGCTTTCATATTGCCTGTACGCCTGTGTGCGTACTTACTTTTCCATCCACAGGGTGAGGTCGGGCGCTTAATCGAATATACAGACGGTACCTCTTAAATTGGGGCATGACTGAGTGTATTGGCATGGTTCGCACGGGCCTTGAAAAGTCCTTGAAAAAGCATCATGTCCTTAAAAACTCCTTGAAAATTGAAAATTGTGGGACATCCTTGAAAAGTCCTTGAATTTTCCACATAAGTCCTTGAATATTTGAAAGCTCTTTGAATGAAAATAACCTTTGTCAAAGCAAAGTTTTTCGCGCAAAGGAAAGATTGAAAGCACAGCAGTAGGCAAATTTTCTTGGTGATCATGAAAGTGTTTTCTTATGATTTTGGTGTTCCTGGCACAGTTCTCTGAGGGAAGGTATTGCAATGAGCAATCCCCACTCCAACTTCGAATTTGAATAGAGAATACTTCATGGAAAGTGCTGGCGTACGGTATTTACGCACGAGTTGTTGACGTATCAGAAATCTTACTCGTTCGCTGCGCTCACTCGTTCGATTTCTGATACAAAAACAACAAGTGCGTAAATACCGTACAAAGCACTTTCCATGTGGTATTGTGTTTATTATATACATACTGAGACATTCGTCATTTTGGCGGCCTTTTGATTTTAAATCTTTCAAAAATGCTAAAATTTGCCGCTACAATGAGTGAATATAAGTAAAATGACCGGTTTTAATATAAGCTTAAGCTTAAATGAAAGGCAAAGTAGCTCCGACAAAAAGCACAACAAAAGCTTACGTCTCGTTCTGTTTTTCCCTTTCTGCTGTTGTTTCGCCGGCTCTCTACCGTTTTCTTTATCGACAGTGAAACAAACGAAACTATTCCACTCCATTTCCGAAGTGTTTTTCACTTTTTTAGCTAGAAAAACTCTTTAAGTAAAACTTTTCTCGTTGAATGTGTGCGAAGCGGCGCTGCAAGCTGCAATAAAAGGCGGGAATTTTGGCGAGAAACTCACACACCTCTTTGGCTTCTGATTGGATGTATCATTTTTCTCACACGTGAAAAAAACATCGTTGGCGATTCTGATTGGACGTATCATTTATTTTTACGTGTGAAAACCATCGTTCGCTCCTCTGATTGGCTAGAACTAATTTGCGTACGAAAATTTACGACATAGCTTTTTGGTGAGTATTTCTCAGTATGTATATAATAAAGGTCTTTTCTTCATGTCATTCTATGTCAAATTAAAGAAGTCCTTGAAAAAATTATTTTGGTCCTTGAAAAGTCCTTGATTTCCCCCCCAAAATTCTGTATGAACCATGATTAGGTTAGGTGCATGAGACACTTGAGAAGATCGCAGCATGAATCAACTGCCAATCCAGACTGCAATTTATAAAAATCTACTCCTCTTCCATCCGTAATTCATCAGTTGGGCTATTCGGAACATGAGTAGCCCGGAGCTTCAATACTGCGTTTAGCTAAAGGTGAAACTAGACTGGTCAGCTGCGACTGTGCATGCGTTACCCATGCCTCAGTCTTTTTGTGTGCCAGGACACTGATAATTTACATTAACCTAAACGAATCGTTTTACTCTGCTAACACATTGGAGAGACTACAGCAAAGAAAATAGGGAACCGAAACGGATGTCATCATGCTTTTCCTTGCTGCTGAACGAATCACTATTTTTCATTGTTTACTCTTTTCCCCTTTAGCTTGTTGATGTGGCCAGCAAACTCGGTCCGTCTTTGCAAGTGGGAGAAAGTCTGGTGTGGGACGCAAGGAGTTCTGGGCAGTCATCACGTGGGGCACAGCAGCAGCAGCAGTCCCAGGGTCCGTCAGGGCCCGGCTCTCTAGCTAGTAGCAGCACGTCCTTTCAAGATGATGGTTCTTTTGTTTAGAAGGAGAGCATGCAGTTTAAGTCCCGTTCACGTACAAATTTTATGTGACAGTTTTTTGAGTGACAAATCTACTTGCAGCCGTACACGACGGAAACCATCGTTTCCAAACGCGCCAGAAATTACTGCGAACATTTACAGAAGAGATGTCGATGACAGCCAACGCAGGGTGTTAACAACTCGCAGGGAGCTTGCTAATGAAAGACTTTTCACAGGCAACAGATTTTGTTTGACAGAAAGGCTGGGGCGTTAGCTTTCGGCCACCGTATTTGTCACCTAAATTTACGGAAATGTCCGTAGCAAAAGTGTCACATAAGATGCGCTCGTGTGGTACAGCTTCACATGTTGTGTCCTGTGTCTGGCCAATCAAACTACGAGCAGAAAATCCAGTAAACCAATAAGAAGTCAAAACAAATACATGCAGAATACTTTAATTGGGGAAAACTTGTGCGAGCAGGTGACGTTCTGATTGTTTCAACTTAAGGCGTACTTTTTGTGGCCTGTAATAAACTGCGCAGTAACTCAGGACAGAGAAACGTCGAATATTGCGACAATCAACTAAAAACAAGGCCGCCAAGATCTCCCTAGTCCTTAATCGATGGTTGTTTTACTGTATTCTGCACTGCGTTAGTCTGTGATCGGACTTCTTTCCATTTATGAGAGCACTTGAGGGGTGCTTACCATCTACATCCCTCGGGGTAGCATAATGCTGGTGGATGTACATGTAAAATCTCTCTGCCCTGATTATTCTTTAGCAGGTTCTGGCGGGGTCAAATTTGAGTTGAACTGTAAAAACTTAAGTTTAAATATTAAAACCCAGTTAGAGGCTCTTGTTCTACAAGATATATTCCCTCCTTCGCTGAGAGTTGTGAACAAGCTCTCTGTTTTGGGGAAGGGTAATACGGACCTTACAAAATTACAACGGCGGTGGCTGCGGGAACCTAAAAAAAGCAATAGGTTTAATGAGCAAAACAACAACTTGGCACGTGCATCACGCTTTTTTGTACATTTCTTTACCGTCCCTTCACAACTACGACGTAAAATGGCCAAAGTTTAAGTTTACTTGAGAACAGGAACGGCAAGGTGATGAATTCTACCATCTCTGTCTAAATTCGGGCGCGGTCCCCACCTAAATTCCCTTCTTTTAAGTAACAGGGTGCCTTGGGATAATCGCGAAATAGTTTTTAAAGGACGCGAAGTCTATTTTTAAGTGACGTTTTCATGGACGTCGCCGTTGTCGGATCGTAAGGTCCCTACTACAATCGAGAGGAGACGGCGAGAAAAAAGGGGGAAGTAACCTTCACTCAACTCGCTTCCCACGCCAATTGTTCCCCTTTCCCCCCACTTGATTGACTGAATAACTTAATTGAATTGAATTTATTGTTATTTTAATCATTTATTTAACATTTTTTACTCTTTTTCTGTAGTTTTACTTGTGAGCTATTTGTGTATATATAACGTACGTGTAACAACTGCTCGTGTCGACTAGCTAATCTACTAGTTGTGGGTAGTGGATATTGCTTGCTGTAAAATTTGCAATAACTAATATTAAACAGTTGAAACAGTTAATGAGCCTAGGCTAGCTCCAGGTCGGCTGGGAGGATAGTGGTATATTAACGTACCCCCCCCCCCCCATTACTAGTATAACCGCCTCCCCCCAATTGCCGGTGCTCCATATAGCCAATAGGCAGCAAATATGTCGCCTAAAAATTGAATTCACGTTCTTTCACTCTTCATCGCGATCATTCCAAATGACTCTCGTTGTCAGCTGTAGGCGAGCTCTCCTGGCGCTGAATTCCTACGAACGATATTCAAGCTCAGAAAGAGATCGAAAATTTCGTCGCTGCTCGTTTACGTCCTCCATAGAATTTCAAAATAGGAAGTTTCAAGTCGTTGTCGTGCAGGAACGGCAAGGAGATGTACCAAAAAGCGTGCTGCACCTGCAAAATTGTTGTTATCAATGACTAATGTAACCACACCTCTATTACTTTTTTGACGTTTTCGTTGCCGTTGAACACACAGTACCACAAGCTTGTCCCCAGAGTTCTCTCTCTCTCTCTCTCTCGCTTTGCAAGAGAGAACCCTGGGAACGAGGTTTACTGTATCCGCACTTTCTTCTGGGATTTAACACTGCATGTATTTTGGGGAGGGGCAGGGGATTTATAAGATATCGCTGCTTTTTAAACTCAGCTTAGTTCTAAGACATATTATTAATTGCATTATATCATTGTTTCAGTGCCTTTTGTCAACCATTTTAGTCTAGTTTGTAAAAGTATACATGTAGCTTTTTTTCTTTGTCTTGCAACCCTGACCCAAATAGTAGGTAGGTAGGTAGGTATTTCATTTATCAACATTACACGGATGAGTACAAGACTTGTTTAAACGTGAACGTGCCAAAATTACTATAAACACAATACATATCGAAACGGAAAAAATATAAAAAATAATAATAATGAAATAAAATAAATAAATAAATAAATAAAATAAAAATAAAAATTATACGAAGATATAAAAAAAATAAAATAAAAAATACGAAAATCAATAATGCTAAGAGGAAATCCAAACAATGTGCAAAAGCTACAATTACACTCAACTCTGGTAGTCACGTTGACCTCATCCAGCATTGACTTAAAAATGTTAAGAGATGGAGCTCTCCTTACATAGTCAGGCAGATTGTTCCATAATCTTGAGGTGTTGTAATGAATCTACTGTTATAGGTAGGCTGATTAAGCGTGCAGAAGCCTCTGAGGTCATATCCATTATTACGAAATAAGAACATCTCTTTAATATTATTCGACCCCATATTGTATAAGCACTTGTAAAAAAGGGAGAGAGCATGAGAAAATCTACGATGCTCTAGGGTCTTTAGTCCAACATAGGTAAGTAGGCCGCCATATGAGTTTGACTTAGCCATTTTCAAAAGAGTTCTAATGGCGTACTGATTATTAAGCTCCAGTTTATTAGAAAGATCAGATGATAACCCAAGTAAGACTGGAGCACAGTACTCTAGGTGTGGCAAAATAAAGGCCTTGTAAATATTAACCATCACTTCTGAAGGTATGAATCTACGAACTCTCCTAAGAGCACTGACTTTAACATTAACCTTATTACATACAGATTTAATATGGGCTTTAAAAGATAGGGAGCTGTCAATGGTTAGACCTAGTAACTTCATATCGTGTACCACCTCCAAGGGTGGCCTAGTACGGTCAGCAAACAATTCGTAGTATGGCGGATCGTCACCCAATGGTAACACTTTAGTTTTAGATTCGTTTATACTTAAGTAATTACACGTGAACCATGACTGAAGCACATCGAACTTGCTCTGAGATCTTGACTCTAACACATCTTGATTAGGGTGTGATAGCTACAGTGTCGTATCCTCAGCATAACGCTTAGCATCGTCAACAGAATAAGTGAGATCATTAATGAATAGGTTGAATAGAAGAGGTCCCAATATTGATCCTTGAGGAACGCCGTGTTGGATTGTTTTCCAGTCTTAGAAGGTGTTTCCGATGCACAATATCAATAGTGTTTCCGATCAATATCAATAGTGTTTCCGATCTACAATCACCAATAGTTGGTGATAAGAAAAAAAAAAGAAAGAAAGAAAAAAAGAGAATCAAAGTGGTTGAACTAGTTGAAACCATTTTGACCTGACGTTCATTTTGAACCCCAGTACATCGTGTACAAAACCAATGCTAAGCCAATCATTCAAATCATTCAAGAACCTTCCATTATTGATAATTCACCAAAAAATGCCGACACACCAGACCAGAAGACTGTTCAGCTTGGCTCATTTTCCCAACATCCCGCACGGTACCTAGAAACACTTCTTCAAGAACTGATTGAGTGTCACGTTTGTTACGTCAACCAATAAATTTACAGTCGCGTTTACGGCAAACGGCAAACGTCAGATTCAAGTCGAGAATTTCTAAAAAAGAAAAGAAAAAAGAATAAGCAGATAAAAGCTGCCCACAACAATTCTTATGGATAAAACTGGCTTGAAAACCACTCATTTTTGTGTAGAAGTAATTTACAGTTAACGACAATTAAAGGGAAAACTTAGTCATGTGGTTCAAATTGGCGATAACGTGACTCTGAATCTATAAAGATGAATAATTGTTGGAGAGTTTGTCCATTTTAAACAGTTATTGGAAGGTTTGTGTGATATCCGGAATAATCAAGGTCGAGGTACATGTGAGTGTTATCAGCCGAACCAGAGGTCGAGGCTGATAACACTTACCAAGACCTTGTTGATTTTTGCGGATATCAGAAAAGCCAAATCTAATATAACTGTTTTATTATACAAGTAAATAGCGACAGACACACCGTCGCAAGGAACCGAATTGACATTGTTCTTGGAAATCATGCATTACACGCGCAATAAACGAACTATTCTGTAGGTTGCGCTGATGTCCAGAGTTAACTGCTATGGTTGGCCGTTTGTTGCAACATTCAAGATTCCATTCCATGCCCTTACATTCCACTCCGGTCAGTGGTGATAAAACTGATTAGTAATGATTTATGCAACAGAAGGCTGGAGTACCCTCCTTAGTGAAATAATTAACCACCTGTCTTCAAATTGCCAGAGCAAGCCTATGTTAAGCTAACCCGGAATAAACTCTGGCGAATCGAAGTTAGCCGTCTTTTCCATGGCTAAGCATTGTAAAACGAAGAAAAAAGTTCTTGTTGATTTAATAAATGCTGAATGCTAGAGTGTTTTTGGAAATTGGCTACATCATAATGCAAGCGACGTTTTCCTTTGATAAACATGAAATTTTTCATTGGAATTGCTTAAACTCCACTGGAAGTTCAGAGGCGTTTTAGTCGAGTTCAGGGAATTTTTCAACCGGATTATCTAATTTAAGCTTTTGTCGTCATATTTTGTTTCTTTCACTGAGCATGAACTTGAAAATGAAGAAGACATGCACAAAATGAGTTTTTAACACATGCTCGTAGAATACAAATAATATTTTTTGTTGTGTTTATTTTCAAAAATC